TAGTCCAGATCAAGTCCATAAATTCGATATTAGCCCATATGTCTGATACAAACTTATAAAGTCCTCTTCAGACTCACAAAACACATGCAATGACACTGAATGCAGGAAGATCACAGGCCAGTGGGTGGGTAGTCTGTGGATTCAGTGGCATAAGCATCTCAGCGGAGACTGAGGTCTTCATGTGGCACCTCCAGCTCAGGGCACTAGCGCAACTCCATGTGTCTTGTCAGCTGCAGTGTCTCCCAGGGAGTCAGCCTGCGTCCTGCCTCCAGAGAGCTATTTATCTCCTTTGGACCTCTAAATGAGGTCATCAAGCTGCGACTTGATTGACAGGCTCAACTCCACCCCTTCACTCTTAATCCTCTCAAATTGACAACAGATTATATAACTACCACAGAAGTAGTAATAATACTGGTTTATGGAACAGCTGTCACTCCTAGACAGGACTTACAACCTCTTCTTAATTCAGTGTTCCTTTGTTGTTAGGTGTGGATGAGCTGATTCTAGTAGTGACCCTATATAGAACAGAATGAAACCACCTGGTCCTACACCATTCTCACAATTGTTCTTTTATTTGAGCCCATTATCGCAGCCACTGTGTAAATCCGCCTTGGTGAGGATCTTCCTCTTTTTTTTTAACCACTGGGGTCAACTTATGATTGCACTCTCGTTATGTTTCCTTCCATCTTTCACTAGTGGAGGACAAGTCAATTTCAACTCATGGTGGTCCCTTGTGTTAGAAATGTGACTTTGTTGTTGCTGTTGTTACATCAGCAGTCCTTTCTCCAGCTACGTCTGAGACTTGATTTGTCGACCTCTTGCTCAGCAGTCATGCACATTAACTGCTTGCACCACCCAAGAATTAACTTGCACCAAGATTGAGACAACTCAATTTTTCTTTCCTAAATTCCTTGTACAGGGCAAATACTTCTTATTCATCTTTCCACGGAGAGTACATGCAGTTCTTTGTGAATTGCTTAATTTGGGTTTCATCTGTTAAAGAGACACTTCCTGGGTACCCACAGAAGTCAGTCTTTAGGAAACAGGAAGAAAGGCTGGCATTGGCAGTCATTTTCGAGGACCCCAGCTTGCTCTTCCTTTGGGAGATCTGTGGATCCCTTCTTTCTGGGCATGCTCAGCAATGTATATTACTCACTTTTCATACATATTTTATTCAGCATCTTAGTTGTCTGCTTTCTTACTTAGACCTTCTTTTCTAAATTGCTTCCTCCTTCAGTAACATAAACTCACTCGCTCCTAATTCCCTATAATCTCGAGAATTGTGATTAGGGTTTTTTTGTCAGCAACAAAAAAAAATCCTCAATTAAATAATGAAATCCTATACAGGAAATGTACTGATTGTTTAGCTCTGATTTCCTCTCCCACGCACTTTCATCTTTCAGAACATCTACCATCTTTTAAACCCCTGGGCAGTTTGGTTTTTTCTGGGCTCCCCACGTTATTCGAAAACTGGCAGCAGCCTTCTGAGAGCACTGGCAACCTCTTATTGGTGAGACAAAAACAGTAACTGTTGCTTCCTGGACCATATAAATTTTGTACACAGGCTGTGGCTGCTTGTTGCCTTGTCTCTCAGATCTAGACCTTTGAACCCTCGGCACGTAGCTTGTACTCTGACCCAGACTGCGCTGTGCACCTGGAGATTTCTTGGAATCACTTCCTCATGCTTTTTTTTTTTTTACAAGTTAACATTTCTCCAACTCTTCTGCTGTCACTTTGCTCATTTGAGAAGTCGTAGTTAACTTCTCTAGAATATCATCTGGAATCAGTTCTTTCCTGATTGACCAACAGCACCTGCACCCTGGCTCATACACCACAGGACCCCATCTGCTCTTACAAGAGCATAATGGTCAAAGTAGACCTTTAAAAAAAAAAAAACCCTAATAAAACGATTTTTTAAAAAAAGTTCAGCAAAGTAAGCTAACTATGATGTCATCCTAAGACTTCAGGATATTTTTGGTTTAAGGATTAATGATGAGCTCAGAGCCACAGTTTAAGGATTCATCTACCCTCTTTGGCTCCAGAAAAACTGAAGTCCATGAGAATTTGGGATGCTGATCTGCATGTCCCCTTTTTGATCCAGATCCTGCTGTGGAATTTTTGTTCAATAACTAGGCACCTCGTGGAAAAGGAGGCAGTTGTTCGTGAAGGCAATTAGCAACGCATTTCCGATCCTATTCCTGATCCTCTACCGTTGCTCTGGGTGCCTTGGATGGTACTGGCAAGCTTTAGGACCCTAGGCACCACAATGACCTAGGAGGTCGAATGGGATTAAGCATGTTATTTAGGCCAATTAACTGGCATGTCTTATAAAATATGACCCTAAAACTTCCAAACCAAAAGCACTCCATCCCACAAAGTATTTGGTTGTCCATAAGCAGTCCCAGCATAGGAGCCATAGGGATGTGGTGGTTGGGTGTTGCCGGGCGGCTAACTGCAATGTCAGCAGTTTGAAGCCAGCCTCTCTGTGAGAGAAGGATCAGGCTCTCTACTCCCATAAAAACTCCATCTCGGAAACTAACAGGGGGAGTTTGATCCTGTTCTCTGGGGTCACAATAAGTCACAATCAGCTTGATGGTGGTGAGTTTGAAAAGCGGCCCCAGCAGGTTCTGCCTTTTAAAAACGTATTGTATTTAGCATACTGTCCAAACCAGAAAGTTGACTCGTGTCAGCCATGCACTTGGATCCTAGTGGCAAAGCAGGTTGTAAAAATGTCGTCTAAAATTTGAAGGGGGGCAGGGAGGAAGAAGGCTCACCCTGCCTTGTGGGTAGAGAAGAAAATGACTATGGTGAAGCCAGGAAGAGGATACAGTGCCTGACACATCACCACAGACATCCCCCTTTCCCTTCCCGGCACAAAGGCTCTGACAACCAGACTGCCCGTTAGATGGCAATGCAGCAATCCTGGCTGTTTTCAATAAAAGTGGAAGAACAAGTTCTTTTCAGTAGTGAGGAAAGACCAAAGATGTATATGGGAAAAATAATGGAACACTAACTCAGATTAAGAACAAACACTAGTGATAGGTGTAAAGCACTTGATTCAATCCGTTTGTGGACAGCTAGCCCTGGTCATTTCATACTGCACAAGAAAAATGCACACAGAACAAAATTACTTTCATTGGTGTTACTCCGACCTCGCTTTCTCCAACTCTTGCCCCCGGCCATGTCTCCCCCTAAATGCTGAGGCAATCAGCTGAAGCACAATTTTAAATCATCAGGGGGTAGGGGAGTTGAGAAGGCATAGTAATAGTAAACGTTCTAAGAAAACTGCTTCTCGAGATACCTAGTTTCTGACCTTTTTGTGCTTTCTTGAGGTAGGTTGTCTATCTAGAATGAAGGACAGACTCTCGTCTGGGCCAGCGTTGCTCCTAGTGAGATAGCCTAGCCTTTGACTTCAATGTCAGCAACTCCAGATCCCTATGCTCTATGAGTCCCCTGCGAATTGATTCCCCCCTGAAGTCCCCCTCAACAAGGCTATCATACAGTACAGCCAGGGTCCTCAAACTTTTTAAACAGGGGGCCGGTTCACTGTCCCTCAGACCCACTGGAGGGCTGAACTCTAGTTTTAAAATAAACTATGAACAAATTCCTGAAGTAAAAAAAACAAATGGGGCAAAAACACCCTGCGGGCCGGATAAATATCCTCAGTGGGCCACATGTGGCCCGCGGGCTGTAGTTTGAGGACGCCTGCATTATACCCACATCCATTGTAAAATTGGCATTATTGCCAGTAGACCTGGAGACAATTCCCTGGGCTCTAGTTTCAACCTTGAAAGCCTTAATTGGCTGTATCAGTGTCTGCTGGTATGGTTAGTGACTCATATGCATGAAAGTAATCTGTGTGCTTTCTCCAGATTGCAACACTTGAGCAAAGCCCAAAGTTTTTCTAGTTTATTTAAGAGTGATCCAGAGGCTCCTAAAGCAGCAGTAACTCTGTGGAGGGACATCACAGGGCATCCTACAACACCTCATTTCTGGTATGGAAGATCACATATCTCAGGTACATAGGATCCTCATGGATTGCATTCCACGGGAAAGGTTCCATCTGTTTCGCTATCTAAATGAACACAATGTATTACATAGAAGAAAACTTTAAAAAGACACCTCTTTGCCACTGTGTCCATTACAATGCATAGTTACACTGAAGTAGACAATGTGCAAACCAGGCAGAAGGGAAGAGCCTACAGATTGTGTGTAATTCCTTGCCAATGGACAATAGATGGTAACATAGAACTAAGGCTATTAAAAGGCATCTTGAGAGAAACCACCAAACCCCTTTGGAAAATAAAGTCTACCAAGTTCTGGCTCGGTGCTTACTTTTTCTAGTCTAAATAGCTGTCAGACACATCAAGTCTTAAAGGTAATCCCTATAATGCTAAAATGTCCTGGCTTCACGAGCCCAAGAGTGTTTTTCTTTCCCAAGTCTTGTTCAATAAAATGAGGCAGAACCATCATCAGGAGAAGCTATATAATTTTAATCTAAAGATTCTGGCATACAGAAAGCATTTTACATAAATTCTCTTGTTTTTTTAATTATATAATAGGAAATATGGGCCCCAGAAAAAGAAGTTTGTTCCATCGGGCTTATTCCTTGGCCTCTGCAGTAAAACCAATCCCCGGCAATCCAACGAGTACCTGCTATCCGTCCACGTCATTTGGTAGGGCCCAAAGGAAGCTGTAGGCTTGTCCCTCATCTTCTCATTGAAGGAGATGCATAGCTTGAGGAGCAACCTCATGGCCCAACTTACATGGGCCTTTTAATTCTACCTTTTCATACTTATGCGATGGCAGTTGGGGGATGGTAGCTTCTAATCTCCCACTCAAGGACTAAATATTGCAGCGGGCTTGTATTCAACATTTATTTTGCCAAGTGTTGCTCCTTCCTTAGTCAGTCTCCAGTGACTAAGCAAAGTCCTAACGCCCTGAATTTCAAGTATCCATCTCTAGGATAGCAGTAAGCTCCTTATACTCTCCCCCGCAGTCACATTTCGTTTTCAAGAATCTTAAGAATGTTTCACGTGTCATTCATGTCCAGGAGAGTTGGGATTGAGCTCACTCTAAACCCACCCTGGCACAGACCCCTTCTTGTTTGCTCTGGAGAGGAAAGGGACATGGATACGTAGGGAAGTAACTAGAGATGAAAAGGACAGCAGGGAGAAGAGCTAAAAGCAAAGAAATGACACAGACCTCCCACATACACACTTTCAAAACTTTATTTATATAAAAAATCCATTTGTTTTTAAAAGCATTAACAAGAGAGAAAAAGAAAAGGTACAGAGCAGAAGATATGCTCCTTAGTAGTGTTCGGTGGGAAGGTGGGATTTTTGGTTCTCTGGAATTGAATGCTTAGTGTTTCTATGAACAACAAAAAAAGGGGGGGGTGTTAAAAGTCCCCGAAAGCCCATGACTGTTCTATTGCCCACGCCCCCACTGAGAAAAAGAGCACCAGGGAGAGGAGAGGAGGAGAAGAGAAACCAAGAGTGGAGTCCGATCTGGATGGGGCGGTTTCCCCTGTGCAGTGTGCTCCTGAGGTCACAGAAAGCAAACGGCTCCGGCTCGCCAGAAGGGGTGGATGAGAGTGGGCCCATATGGGAGGGGGAAAAAAGGGCAACTAGGAATTGTAATACATAGGGAATGGGGAGGGGCCGTGCACATTTCTCCTACCCCATAGCCTCAATATATAAGGGAAGGGGGAGAGCGAAGGATGAGATTTCCAGTTGATTGAACTTTTAGATTACAGATGAGAAGGCAAATAAGGAAAAACCTTAAAAAAAATTTTTTTTAATCAACTCACATAGCAGCTGATTCCTCTAGCCCAACCTGCTAATACACACGACACTGCAGTGGGGAGTGTGCTGGGGCAGCATAGTGGAGAAGGAGATAACTTGCTCTAATCCCTTCAGAGATGATGGGAAATTCTGGGCAACTGAGAAAAAAGACCCACCCCCCCCTCACTCCTCCCACCAGTCTCACTGTAAGGTTCATCAGCATGGGATGATTATTGCAGAAGCCCAACCTTAAACAGCGGTTGCACAAAAGCTTGCTGTGGCTGAAGTTAAGAGGCTATACCAATCCCGGATAGAGAGTCTGAAGTTCTCTAGGTCACCCCTCTCCTTTCTGCTGTTTAGGGCCAATGATGGGTAGGAGAGTCAACGAAATGCAATTCGTAAAATCATGAGAAATGAGACTGCAGAGGCAAAGAAAGGCACCTGGAAGGGAAGGAGGAGATGCACCCCAGGCCAAAGGCACAAAGAAGAGGCAAAGCCAGGGGTAATCTCCACCTTATAAGGGGCAAGAAGTTATGTACATCAAGTCCTTTAGTTGGCCAACCCCAGGGAGGAAGCAGGGGAGGAAACAGGGCTATCAGATTGGGATTGGGAGAAATAGGGCAAGAGGGGAAGCCAGCTTTGAAGCTTCCTGCCAGTTTCAGACTAATTGCTTCCTGTACATTCCAACTAGCTCCTCCTAGAGGTTCCTCTTCTCTCCAAAAGTCATCTTTCTGCTCCCTCTCTCCCAAAACTTTCTTGGCACATTCTCCTTCTTCAAGAGCCTCCTGCAAATGGCCAGGCTAGGTCAGCAGACATCACAGGATGGGAGAAGAGGGCTCCTCATGGCCTCTGTAAGGGGCAGCGGCAGCAGCCTAGGGTCGGCATGAGGCTTGAAGAAGAGACGGAGTCTGTTGATCTGTTATGGTCCCTGCCTCGGAGAGGAGGATAGCAAGGTCTCTTAACCTCAGTCCTTGGACCCTCACTTACTCAAGGGCCTTTGCCAGGTAGAATGTGCCGATGTTGCCAGCCTGCTTTGCTTCAAAAGTAGCCAAAAAAATTGGCTCCCCTTCTCAAAAAAAAAAAAGTTAAACTCCCTTCTCCACCAGGGAAAGGGGGAAAAAAGAAAAAGCATCACAGTCACCAGTTTATCAGGCTGCTGGACACTACATATGTCCGATTCTTGCCGCGACTTCCAGGAAAGGTTTCCACTCTTCCCTTCCTCCCGCCACAAGAGGTCAAGAGTTCCAGGGAGAGGTGGCAAAAAGAGCTAGTCTGCAGCAGGTTCTCCAGAGGAGAGATTGAGGCATCCTATGCAAATCACTGGGTTAGGCTCTTTGGGAGAAACTGGCGGGGACTTGGAGTGAGGGGTCAATGACACTTCACTGGAGGAAACTGGGAGCTGATGAAGAGAAGGCAGCCCCTTAGGGCTATGAGGACAGGAGGCAGCCTGGCAGTTGGCACAACAGTCCAGCGAAGAAAGAGAAAAATCATCATCGGTCCATTTCACCACCAAAAAAATAAAAGTACATATATTATAAGCTCAGACGGAGCGGCGATAGTGGCGCTAAATCTTCTGCTGTAGGGGAAAAAAGAGAGACTGTGTTAAGAGTTAAGATTATGAGAACGTCAAAAACAAAGGGGCAAATCTGGCGGCAGGAAAAGAGCACGTAATGGAGAATCAGATCACCAGGTGTATATCCCAGCCTCTTAAGCGGGAACAATCACAGAAGCAGAACCCGTGAGCCCCAGGTGGCCGAGACTAGCGTCTCGGGCCTGATCAGATGAGCGTGATTGGCAAATTGCTGGCACGAAGGGCCTCGTTCCTCAAGGATAATCTTGGGGGTGGCTGGAAGACATACCATGGGGGAGTAAGAAACTTGGACCCCCTCATCATCCATAACCAACTCATCCAATTCTTCATCCAAAGATTCCTGCCCCTCGCCCTGCTGTGAACACATGCATTTTGTTAGTAGAAGGAAATAGGAGTGTCATGAGTGTGTGCCAGACCTAAAGGACACCCCAAAGTCTGTAAAGAAAGACATTCAAACAAGGTAGCCACAGGGAGAGGTCAGTCTGGGAGCCGAGCAGTCAGCATTAGTCTTATCAACACCAGTAACAGGAGCACAGCTGTCCTCCCCCATCTGTCTCGTCAGTCATCTCAGGATGAGTCAAAGCCCCTACTTTTCCAGGAAAAACCCGACCAAAAACCAGTGTTGTCTTTCATTATGTCCTTTCCGCCCCCAGTTTCACAGAGCACGCAGGCTTCAAACTAGACTTTGTCTTAGAAGTTAACAGTATATGAAGGGAATTTACCATCAGGGGTGCTCCCTTTAATGGCTCCATATCCCCTAGGTCCCCGGATCGATCCAGTGTTCTGTTGTGGTCCCCTCTCTCATTCAGCGTGGAATAGTTGTTATCTGCGGGGAAGATGGGGGGGGGGGGGGGGGGGGCACAGAAATATAATATCCATTTCTAGATTACAATAAATATCAAACAGTTAAATATGAATTAGGCATCTAGTAGTGAGAGCCTGACATTTGATTTTAAAAATCTAAGTTGGGAAAAAAGGGTGGGAGAGGGGAGAAAGATTCTGGTAGGAGGTTACATAAACAAAATAAGGCAGAAATTCATTTCCTACCCAATAATTTTGTGTTTGATCCCATGTTGCTCATTTGAATTTCTTCCCGATCAGGTTTTTTATCTATATGGAGTCAGAAAAATATTCAGGTCAAAATTAACTCCTCAAAATCCTTACCCATTACAAAAAATTATCTTCTGATCCGTCTTACCACCCTCTTCCTTGCCATTCAGTGTGAGCTTATAAATTTTTTTTAAAAATCATTTCTTGTTGTTGTGCATCTTTGGCTTAAGAAAAGATGGCTGAATTCTCCTATCTGCTTGAGCATTCAATTCATTGTGATTATATTGTCATTAAAGTATACGAGGAAAATATGGCCTCACACAAAAATGCTAAAAAAGGAGAAGGGATTTTAATAGCCCCTTTAGATAACTGTGGATTTATTCTTGGATCCTAAACTACATTCAATACATAGTCGGTGTCTTATTAGCAAACTATGGAATCTGAAGTCATATTAATGATTTCTTTGTACTCTGTCAAATTAAAATTCACTGTCTTGCACTTTGAATGGATTAGCCGTGCATGATTTTGAAACATCAGACATTTCAAAAACCGAAAACCCACTGCCACTGAGTTGATTCCAATTCATAGTGACTCTGTGTAGGGTGTCCCACCCTCTCATCTTCAGAGGAGCAGACACCCTCCTCTTTCTCTCATGCAGTGGCTGATGGGTTTTGACCGCCAACCTTGAGGTTAGCAACGCAGTGCCTAATCCACAGCGCCACCAGGCCCGTCACCATGCACTGGTCATTGGGAAAACACCGGCTCAGAACGATGGCGGCTCTTCCCAATGTGGACACACACTTCATTATAGAATGAAAATCACACTTGCTATGTTATTGTAGAAAAATCTCAGAGTATTAGAAAGTCATCCGGTTCCTGTGTCAGGTTAAGAGGTTTTCCAACATGATCATTTTAAGTTGAAAGCTCAATTTTATCATGAACAACCAATGTCATCCACTAGGTTCCTCAAAAAGACAGGTGGCGTTTTTGAGAAAATGTTTGCCCAATAACCCATGTCTGAATTACCATAGTTCATTTGTCTGCCAGTCACTTTTAAAGTAAAGATGGTATTCCATTAAAAAATAGCTGGTCCAACCAGCAACTCAAACAATGGCCTGAGTGTGTCCTTAAAAGACAAGCTTATGAGACATTTGTAAGCAGCATAAACATTTCATGAGCACGTCCTAATTTGTCAGAATATTCAAAAATATACACATTGAAGGTTAGAGAATTAAAATGAGTAATTTTTACGGCTTCATTTAATACTTTCTTCTTTTTAAGGAATCTGGCTTCTTTCATTTTAAAAACTGAGCATGCAGAAATGAAGACTACAATGACTAGCTTAGTTTGGTATCTTGGCCTAGATATATGCCAAACCACCACCAGTAAGGACCACCAACATTTCTGCACCACCAGTGGAACCTTCCGCGGGGTTGGAATCCTCAGACCACACCCTCTTAGAACGAACCACTGATCCAGGCAAAAGCTGCATGTATTAAAAGAATACAGAATAATATACACTTAACTGAAAAACACTTTACAAAAATAGGATTCTTATTTTTTGGATGGGGGTGGGAGGGCGTGTCTTCAATGTTTCCTAAGAGAACTACGTACAACTCTATCTTCCTGATTACTTGTATTGTCTAATGTTGGAACAGTAAACCATTTACTGTACTAACTTAAGGGGGGAGGGTGTGGCCAAGACTAAGGTTTACTTTGAGTCATTTTCAGTCCACCAGCAAGACGGGATTAGTAACCTACACTGCGTAGATGGCACAGCCCATCTGACTTGCTAAAACTGAACAGAACTTGAAGCCCTTGCAGATGAAGAGCAAAGACTCCCTGATTGTCTGTTTCCTTTGCCAGCACTGAGGCCTGCCAGTTTCTAGGTTACAGCTTCCTGGATCAAGTCCTATCAAGTACGCCCCTCCCAAGAAAGACGCCCTCACCCAGAAACAGCATCCCATTTTTAGAGTGGCCTGGGCAGCCATAAGAAACAACACAGTGTGCTCTCAGGATACCGTACCTGATTTTTGGTTCCGGTCAATGAGAGGAAGAGTACTATCATCATAGGAATGACTGCTCTGGCTCCGAGAAGCACTGTTGAGATTCACCTGGAGGAAAACGTAGGCTGCTGAATCCATCCTCATCTTAGTCCCTAATGGGCACAGGCTTCAGGTCCTTCATTCCCAATATAACTTTTACCGAAACGCAACTCATTAGTGGGCTTATATTAGTGTTTGTGACCAGGTAGTACCAAGGCATCAAACACTCCCGCTGCAGGAAGACAACGTCTCAGGGAGGGACATGCTCCCTCAAAGGGCTCTGGTACATACAGGGAAAACTAAAAAGGCGTGCACCACCTTCACCACCCACCTCATCATCTCTACCCTGAGCCTTTCAAGATCTGAACTGTATGGACAGCAAAAGAACTGGAAGCACTACCCTTTTTCAGGAGCAGTTAGCCAAATGACTTCATTAGTACTGCAAGGCATGGGACAGATGTCATCTCAGTGCAGTAAAAAAAAACAAAAGAAAAACAAGGCATATTGCCCTGGGATCAGGAATATGAAAAGGCAAAAGATTTAGTCTTTTAGCTTTCAACACAGGGAATCCAGAACATATAAACCCCCTAGGACCAAAAAGGGGAGCAGCAATACTAGGAGGGGAAAGGAAGGGAGGAAGTAAGGGGGAACCTATCACAATAATCGACATATGCACACACACACACACCCCACTCCCAGGGGGATGGACAGCAGAAACTCGGGTGAAGGGAGACACCGGTCGGTGTAAGACATGGGAAAAAAGGGAAAAAAAGATGAAGAACTTACAAATTATCAAGGGGACATGGGGGAGGGAGGGTGGAGGAGGGAGGGGAAAAAGGGAGGGAGGGTGGAGAAGAAGGGGAAAAAATGAAGAGCTGATACCAAAGGCCCAAGTAGAAAGAAAATGTTCTGAAAAAGATGATGACATCCTATGTACAGATGTGTTTGACATAATGTATATATGTATGGATTGTAATAAGAGCTGTAAGAACTCCCAATAAAATTAATTAAAAAAAAAAATTATTTCATCTTTTACCTGAAAGTCTGTTTTCTTCCACCCTTCCTTTTCCAGTGGTTTCCGTAGTTCTTTATATCCCCAGATAGTCTGTAACACGAGGGCGGCTGCTCTGACCTCTTTCTCTGAGCGGTTCCTTTCAAGAAGAGTAACACCAGGTGGAATTTTTACATAAAACCAAGAAAGAAGTTCAGTACTGCACACCCTAACATAGCTTTACACAAAAACATAAATGTCAGAATGGGTAAGATCAAACTCTCTCCAAATGCCGTACTTTGTTTAAAATGGTGGCACAAAAACTGTTAGATGAAAGATAATTCATGACTGATTTATACATCACCATGAAGATATAAGATAGAGCAATATTCATTGCTTTACATGTACTGTATATACTCAAGTATGAGCCGAGTTTTTCCAGCACATTTTTAATGCAGTTTTGGGGGTGAAATTAGGTGCCTTGGCTGATATTCAGGCCGGCTTATACTCGAGTATATATGGTACACAAGGGGGGGGTGGGGACTTAGAAAGCAAAAGGAGCCCTTTCATACTCTTTTTCTACCCCTCTCCCACACACACAATTCTTCCAGCTATAATTTTAAGTTGTGAACTCACCCTGATTTGTTGATCAGCACCAGCTTCTCAATACCCTGTGTCTCCCGCAGTTTCTTGGCAGCTTCCAAGTTCTCAGCAATAACCTCATTGATGGTATTCAAAATAGAGACCACGGTATCTTCGGAGAAATTCCGGGAAGCGCTCTGCTGCCCTCCTGGCAGATTGTTTACCAAGTTAGGAATAGCATGTTTACCTAGAGTAGAAAGATGGAGAAAACACGTGCAGGGAGAAGCTGAGCCAGATCTTCAGACAGGTTTACGAAATTACACTGTGTGAAAAAGCAGTATCATCGAGTAGGCACTACTCCATTGGAATTCATCGTTCTACTACTGCTTGAGCTGATCTAAAGGGCCAAACACCTGGAAAGCCGTGGATTTAGCCTTCTGTGGTTTCTTTCTCCTCTTTTCTTATTCAGAATGAACCATGTATGTGTATAATGAGTGTCAAATATGCTACATTACACTTTCAGACACTCAATTGAAGACTGTGTATCGGTTCATTAGAGCAATAGAGTAGTTATTATGAATTAAACACCCACAAACACCATTGGGCTCTGCAACTATCTATGTTAACTCTAGGCAAATTAACTTCCCTGACCCTCCATTTTCCTGTTTTAAAAAAAGGGAGTGGGCTATATTAGTCTGAAATGAGAACAGAGCGTGCTTCACAGTACCTAAAAAAATACCAAGCCAACCCATAGCCATCACGTCAATTATAACTTACAACAATCTTACATAAGTTGCCAAGACATACAGCTTTACAGGAGCATGGCGTCTCATCTTCTCCCGTGGAGCGCCGAGTGGGTTTGAACCTGGCAGTTAGCAGCCTACCACCTAACCCACAGCACACCACAGGTGCTCCATTAATCATCACTAGCAGTTGCACTGGAGCGGTTTGGAGTCCAACTATGGCAACCCTACGTGTCAAAGTAGACAGTTGTGCTCCATAAGTCCCCGGTGGGTGGCTCTTCACAAACACACCACCATGACTTCCTTCTAAGGTGCCTCTGGTTAAACTCAAACCACCAACCTTCCTTTCAATTAGTGAGTGGCTACAGGTGTGAAATGTTTGTACTACCCAGGGACTACATTCAGTGATCAATTGCTATTACCAATCTGTTTTGGAAGAGTTACTCCAAGAACCATTAACCCACTCCAGTCCTTGGCTTCATAAACTATAGAGGATCCTTTTCCTCAGCCATTGCAATAAGTAAATCAATCCCTAAACACCTGCTGTATGGGATGTTAAGCATGCAGTGCAGTGGTTCCCAACCTTCCTCATGCCGCGCCCCCAGTTCCTCATGTTGTGGTGACCCCCAACCATAAAATTATTTTCATTGCTATTTCATCACTGTAATTTTGCTACTGTTATGAATTGGGCGACCCCTGTGAGAGGGTCGCTTGGCCCCCAAAGGGGTCGCGACCCACCAGTTGAGAACTGCTGCTGTAGTGGTTAGTGGCCACTCAACTCCTTACCAATTAATTCTTTGTTACGAGCATCCACAGCCAGATTTCTCAGTGCTCCAGACGCCGCTTTCACTACCCGCTCATGTTCACTGGTCAGGAGATCAGCTATGGCAGAAAGAGCCTTCTCTTGACGCAGAGCAGAGCGGATGTATCGACCATACTAGAAGTAGCACAAGGAAAGAGGTGGAACAGATTGCAAATGGCAGCAACCTAAGTTCTCCCACCTCCAAACCCAGTCTCTGAAAGGTACTCACTGTCCAGCGTCCAGCACACAAGTTCTGGATAGCTCCAGCAGAGGCTTCCAGAATGGCAGGAGTCTTGCTCTCCTTCAAGAGTGAGATGTATATCCGAACCACCTCTGGCTGAAACAAGAGCTCATAGCCTACACAAGAAAGGACAAGGCAGAGGGTGCTAATTAGCACCGACAAACCAGGCTCTGGGTAGTTGCAGAGCAGACTAGTACTCTGGACTGATGGGGGGGTGTATGGTCCTATTCAATTAACTCAAACCATTGTCGTCGACTCAAATTTCTACTCACAGTGACCTAATAGGACAGAACAGCATGTATTGCTCCTTTCAATTTCCAAGGCTGTAAATCTTTATCAGAGCAGAACGCCTCATCTTCCTCCCACCAAGCGGCTGGAAGATTTGAGTTGCTGACCTTGCAGTTAGACCAACTCATAACCCACCATGCCACCAAGATTCCTTTCCATACCATTAGGCTTCCTAAAACTCTCCACTCAACAGCAAACTCAAGAAGTCTGCTTCAATGCCTTAAGAATGAGTCATTCATGGTAAAGTAACAAAATAGATGTCAAGTCAGTATACGGAGCATGATTCTCTCCTCCCTTGCCTCTCCTTCTCTCCCAGTTTGCTTTATCTTGGCTTGATCATAGGCACTTGGAGGATTCAATTAGCTCATGTGTACCAATCAGTGCTAAAGAGTCCTCATCTCAAACGAATAGATAAGATTTCAGTGGCTTAGGGTACCCTAAGTCCCTAGTCAGGTAACCTGAGAAGTCGCCCGTACAAACTTACAAGTGGTAAGTTACTGCTATCATTTCTTGTAAGTCATAATAATATTTCTTAACACTTGCACCATCATTTCACATTACTAAGTGGAGAGAACAAGGAACAGTGAACAAATTGGCCATAATCTGTTCTTAGGCCACCAAACACTGTACCCATGCTCTACACTTAGGAAGCCCTTGGGGACTAGAAGAAAACGAGAACTTACCTCGGGCAGGACTACTTCTTTTAGGGAAGTCCACCGTATCATTTGCTGGATCCTCCGTGGGTTTTTTCCCTTCAGAAGTTAAAAAGAAGTAGGGGGGGGACAGAAAGTTTACGAGAAGTAAGACTCTAGCCTGGCATCTTTTTCATTCAGAATCTCTGAATCAGAGATGTATCGAAGAGGCAAAGTCAATCCAGCGGCCCCAGCTTGTCTCCACTGGGGGCTGAGAGCGACAAGGCATCAGGATAACCACCGCTGTGGCCACTGCCCTTGGTCTTGATCACAAGGACGGCTGCCCATACATAGCATGCCATGGGCTCGCTAGCTCAGAAGGGTCTTCCTCTACTGAATGCTCCTACATGCATCACAGGGCAGGGTTAGGCAAGGAAACACTAGGGAAGGCAAAACCAAAGCATGCAAATTAGAATTAGACAGGCGCCTTAAAAGGTACCACTCACCTCTGGAGAACCACTCATCTTCCAGCGCGTCACCCAAGGTGGAAAGCAGAGGAGAGATTGAAGGAAGAAAAATGCAGGAGAGAGATGTCAACAGGATCACGGGCCAATAGGAAAGCACAGAGGGAAACGGAAGAACATAGGAAACACAAAGGAGGAACGGGGGGAGAAGGCCCCAGATTAGTTGAGTCTTGTCTTCCACTGACCCAATCACTGACACTGACACCACACCACCACCACCTTGAATCAAGCACATGACACAAGGGAAGCAGCGGCAGAGCAAAAGACATCCTTGACCAGGCAGCCAGCCTGGCAAGTATTCTGCACCTGAAGCTAAGAGTTCCTTGCTTTCCCCTCCCCACATTAAGGAGCACGACTCACCTTTGCCCTTCTTGGCCCCAAAGCAGCTGGCAGCATGTGGCCCAGTATTGTTGGCAATGGTTGGGGGTGCCTCCTGATAACGCTCAGCCTGCGGGATCTCCCGGTGAACTTGGTATGATAGGTTCCGAAGAAGGCAAACACAGTTCTCCACCAGCTAGGGGGCACAAGACAAAAGGCGCACTGAGACAAGAGAATGTCTCTAGTCAAGCCCCCTCAGTACAGGTTTCCATGATTTGTAGTTCAAAATACTGATCCTCAAAAGCCCGGGTCAAATCTCACCTCTCATGATGACTCTTGTGTACCCTAAGGTTTTTCAAAATCCTTGCAGCCTCCCTAAGAATCAACTATCAACTTTTTGGCTTCTGCCACTGTTTGTTGTGTGACCCAAAGTTGAATAAAGACATCCTGACTTTTTCCTACTTAGAAAAATATACCACCTTATAAACACAGCTCAAATCAAACTCACTGCCATCGAGTCTATGCTGCTTCATAGCAGCCCTATAGGACAGGGTGGTGCTGCCCCTTTCAGTGTCCGAGACTGTGACTTTAGTGGAGTAGAAAGCCTCATCTTTCTCCCTCAGAGTGGCTGCTTGCTGACCTCCCACTTAGCAGCCCAATGTGTAACCGCTACCCCACCAAGGCTCCTAAGAGCACAGGTGAGCACCTTTAACATATATTAAGTGAAAGGAATTCTAAAGAAAATTGTTCTTTTAAGTCCCAACTAGTAGAGACATCTAACAGTTTTTGAAAATCTGAGTTGACAGGTCTACATTCCAGGTGCCACATGATTGCTACGCACAAAATTCACTCAGCCACGAACATACCTTGCTGTCTGAATCCTTCTGCCCAATCTCAGCCTGCACAATGAAAATGAGGGCATCAACTAAACCGTCACATTCCCGAAGTTTCCTGCGAGCTTCACTCCTCTCTGAGCTGACATTCCTGAGGGGTAAGAGATGCCGAAAAATAACACAAATTCAGAAATCTTCCTTTAAATGACCCTCAACATCTACAATTTGTTTTTCTACTCACTATAACAAAGCGCAAGTGTACCTACACAGGGCTGTGCAGGTGATAGAAAGTTCAGTAAAGACAGTCCCTACCCTTAAGGCATCGATAACCTGTGGATGCAGTCGCAAAGAGAAGAGTAAATAAAGTATTTAAATAGCAGTAATTAAAGGCAATCAATTCAAAGGGGCTTCAAAAAGCTCCTTAAAAAAAAAAATCATCTTTTAATTCCACCGTTGCAGAAAACTTTTTCTGAAATCTCCTGGTACGCCCTGTATAGAAGTATAAATGAACAGGCAAGCACATAGTATTGCAAAGAGGGAAAGAAGGTATTGGAGCACATCTGCCTTGGACACTGTGCTCTTTGAAAGATTACAGATCAAACTGACAACAGCAAATCAAAAGAAAAGATGGAAACCTGGGGGCGGGGGGCGGGGGTTGCACACAGGTGAGTTGACGTTAATGGCAGAGAAGCAACAGTGAAAAGGAGGCTCACAGTGGTTGCAGGACTCAAGACTGTAATCAGTGTCGGGCATTACCGAGAGGAGGAGGAACGCTTCACCCACCCCCCTCAGGAGTCTGGACCTCTTTCACTGCCTTTACTGACGTGAAATGCAGGTCGGAGTGAAGGCTGAATGACAGGCTAGAGGATTTTTTGTTGTTGTTTAATTGAATCAAAAATGTATTCTTCATCCTCTCAAAGCCCTCTTGTTACCTAAGGCAGCCAGCTGTGTTGGTGAGCACCGACTCCCACTCGATGTGGCGAGGCTTACTATCCTCATTGGGTTCCCGCTCCCAGCCAGAATGTGGAATGATCACTTCATCTGTCAAGGCATGCAGCGCATGGTCCACAATCTCCATTTTGATTGAGTCATGGGATGAGAGATTCCACAGGGTTCCTGGCAAAGATAACAGGTCAGAGAGTTCACCAGCGTGCCAGAGAGCCATGCAAAGAACGCCAGAAAGCACCCCCTTACCCTTATTCCACAGTACTCGAGCTTTTGCCACCCGGACCAAGAAACATAGTAGACATCATGGCCCAGTGTAAGCATTAATAAAATCTCATAAACAATACTTATTAAATAAACAACGCTTCCTGACCTTTCTAACCTCAAGTCAGTACATGTTGGGTTGAACAGTTATTTTTTCATGGGGAGCTGTAGCACAGTGGAGGAGCCCTAGTAGCATAGCGGATTCCATGTTGGGCTACTACCTGCTAGGTCAGCAGTTCGAAACCACCAGCCACTGCTTAGGAGCATGATGAAGGTCTCTACTTCCAAAAAGGTTTCCAGGTTCAGAAAACCACAGGGGAAATTCTACTCTGTCCTATAGGCTTGCTCGGAGAAGGGATCAACTTCATGGCAGCAAACAATGTGAGTGTAGCAGTGTGGGTTAAGAATTCGGTGATCTGCTCCTGTCAGGACGTAGTCTCAGAAACCCTATGGAGCGGTTCTACTCTGTGCCAGCATTGCTATGTGTTGGAATCGACTCCATGGTGGTGGACTCTGGTCCTGTGCCACCTGCAGCAATATCCGAGTCTCTACTCGTTAGAGGCCAGCAGCACTCGTGATAACCAAATATGTCTCCAGACATTGCAAATGTCCCCTGGAGAACAAGACTGCTGCTCCTGCCCCCTGCGCTCCTTACAGAGAACCACTGGCCAGCACGCTTTCCTTTGGGGTTTGTTTTTTTTCCTCTAAGAATGTTGACTGTGATCCACAAATGAGTCATAACATACCATGTGACAAACCACTGTTCTAAAGCAAGGACCACAAGCTCACATGTCTCCATGTGTCAGGCAGGTAGATATCAGACCAAAGGCAATGTTTAGGAGGCATCGTCCTATGTGGCAGTAGTTGGTTAGTGGTAACAGGATATGTCGGGGACCACTGCAAACTGAAGAGCTTAAGTCCCCAGAAGTTCCTATTAGGGACAGAGTAGAACCGCTCCATAGGGTTTCTGAGACGACACCTTTCAGGAGCACATCACCACGTCTTTCTCTTCGGGAGTAGCCGGTGAGTTAAATCACCAACCTTGTGGTTAGCAAGCGAATTCTTAACCCACACTGCTATACTACTCACATTGCTTGCGGTCATGAAGTTGATCCCTACTCTGAGCAAGCCTATAATATAGGACTGAGTAGAATTGCCCTTGCCCTCGAGAGAAATGGAGAAGCCAAAAAACTTGGACTTTAAACACTTGCAACCAATTCTAAAAAAAATTCTTAAACCTTATGTGAGCTCAACAAATCTGTGAGATGTGTTTTGCCCAAGGGCCACCACCGTTCCCAAGCTCTAATCGAAATTCAAAGAGCAGGAAACCTCTCTATGGGTCACAGCGCCCCCAACCTAGCAGTTCCCCTCCAGTCTAGAACTCACCAGTAATGACTTCAGTAAGGTCCATATCACGAGCCTTTCGGAGCAATCGCACCAGGGCAGGAACACCATCACAGTTTTTTATGGCGATCTTGTTGTCTTGGTCCCGTCCAAAAGAGATATTCTTGAGTGCTCCACAGGCTCCCAGGTGCACTTCTTTTTTGGGGTGGTCTAACAACCCCACCAGCACTGGGATGCCCTTTAGCTTCCGCACATCGGTCTTCACCTTGTCATTACGGTAGCACAGGTGCTGCAGGTAGGCAGCTGCATTGGACTTGACAGCATCCAGGCGGAAACCCAACATGGCGATCACCTCTGGCAGCTCTGGCTGCCTCCAACTGGAAGGGGGGCCCCCTCCCTTGCGCAGGCTATCCAGGCTTGCCAAACTTCCGCGTTCATGCTGGGCCAAAGGAGCCCAATAGTACTGGTCTGGCGGCACCTCCTCGCCAATCATGTCTTCATAACTCCTGCAAGATTTCAGAAGAACAAAAATAAAACAGCTGTCCGTTCTGGCTTCCTAATAAGCATTCCATGGACCCCTGTCTTTGAGGTAGAAGTAGCTCCAGCTCCACTACACTGATCTGGTCTCCCTTTCACATGAGGGATGAGGTAGAAATAATGAAGGCCATTATCTTAAAGGCATCTGCAGTTAGAATCAAGCCACCTTTCTTTTTCCATGGCAAATATCGGTTAGGAAAGGTACAAGCATTCAGAGAGGTTAATCAGAAAGAAGAGGCAAATCCCGACTAGCCATACTTGAATGATACCTGCCAGCTATGGCCTTCTCTGGACGGAGATTCGAATAAATCTTCAGACAGCAGCGTTAACCAAAGTAACCAACTCAAAAGTCTCAGAAGGGAGCACACAAAGCCTGAGAACATCGGTTCTCACAAGCCCTTAGCTAAACAGGAAATGAGGCGTTGACACCAGGAAACAGCTGGAGGAATAAGACCCTTAAGCACACTTGCTATTCAAGCTTCTCCCCACCCTAAATTTGGAAACTGTACACAGGCTGTAAGTGACAACAGTAATGGGCTTCTTGCTACATCCTCTGCCGCACGGCCGTGAGCAGGCCAGCACATTCATCTTTATCACCCACCCGTCACCACCACTACTCAGTGGGCACGATTTCCAGCCTCCAAAGTCCAAAGGCACTCTTCTCTCCAAGTCTGTCCAAACGGAGAGTGCTGACCAGCATCACACTTGCCCAACCCAAGGAACAGAAACAGACAAAGCAACTGAAGGTGAAAGAGTCAAACCGGAGACTAACTCCCTCCTGTTTCAGTACAACCAACAACCACTAGAGGGGAGCCCATCACACTATTATTTATTCATAGCCACTAGGAAGGAAGAAACCCATTATCTGTGAGCTCACCTCACTCCCGGCTCCCACAGGAGAAAGGGGAATCTATTGTATGCAACTCCCCAGATAAGCTGATTGTTTGCTTCACAAAACCACTCCCACTGCCACCAAAGCCTGCA